CCCCTCATAACTCACTGGTTCCCCCCCCCTCCCGGATCCCCCATAACTCTCACTGGTTCCTCCCATCTCCTGGACCCCCCATAACTCTCACTGGTTCCGCCCACCTCCTGGACCCCTCATAACTCACTGGTTCCTCCCACCTCCTGGGCCCCCCGCAGCTCTCACTGGTTCCTCCCACCTCCTGGGTCCCCCGCAGCTCTCACTGGTTCCTCCCACCTCCTGGATCCCCCATAACTCTCACTGGTTCCTCCCCCCTCCTGGATCCCCCATAACTCTCACTGGTTCCTCCCCCCTCCTGGATCCCCCATAACTCTCACTGGTTCCTCCCCCCTCCTGGATCCCCCATAACTCTCACTGGTTCCTCCCCCCTCCTGGATCCCCCATAACTCTCACTGGTTCCTCCCCCCTCCTGGATCCCCCATAACTCTCACTGGTTCCTCCCCCCTCCTGGATCCCCCATAACTCTCACTGGTTCCTCCCCCCTCCTGGATCCCCCATAACTCTCACTGGTTCCTCCCCCCTCCTGGATCCCCCATAACTCTCACTGGTTCCTCCCCCCTCCTGGATCCCCCATAACTCTCACTGGTTCCTCCCCCCTCCTGGATCCCCCATAACTCTCACTGGTTCCTCCCCCCTCCTGGATCCCCCATAACTCTCACTGGTTCCTCCCCCCTCCTGGATCCCCCATAACTCTCACTGGTTCCTCCCCCCTCCTGGATCCCCCATAACTCTCACTGGTTCCTCCCCCCTCCTGGATCCCCCATAACTCTCACTGGTTCCTCCCCCCTCCTGGATCCCCCATAACTCTCACTGGTTCCTCCCCCCTCCTGGATCCCCCATAACTCTCACTGGTTCCTCCCCCCTCCTGGATCCCCCATAACTCTCACTGGTTCCTCCCCCCTCCTGGATCCCCCATAACTCTCACTGGTTCCTCCCCCCTCCTGGATCCCCCATAACTCTCACTGGTTCCTCCCCCCTCCTGGATCCCCCATAACTCTCACTGGTTCCTCCCCCCTCCTGGATCCCCCATAACTCTCACTGGTTCCTCCCCCCTCCTGGATCCCCCATAACTCTCACTGGTTCCTCCCCCCTCCTGGATCCCCCATAACTCTCACTGGTTCCTCCCCCCTCCTGGATCCCCCATAACTCTCACTGGTTCCTCCCCCCTCCTGGATCCCCCATAACTCTCACTGGTTCCTCCCCCCTCCTGGATCCCCCATAACTCTCACTGGTTCCTCCCCCCTCCTGGATCCCCCATAACTCTCACTGGTTCCTCCCCCCTCCTGGATCCCCCATAACTCTCACTGGTTCCTCCCCCCTCCTGGATCCCCCATAACTCTCACTGGTTCCTCCCCCCTCCTGGATCCCCCATAACTCTCACTGGTTCCTCCCCCCTCCTGGATCCCCCATAACTCTCACTGGTTCCTCCCCCCTCCTGGATCCCCCATAACTCTCACTGGTTCCTCCCCCCTCCTGGATCCCCCATAACTCTCACTGGTTCCTCCCCCCTCCTGGATCCCCCATAACTCTCACTGGTTCCTCCCCCCTCCTGGATCCCCCATAACTCTCACTGGTTCCTCCCCCCTCCTGGATCCCCCATAACTCTCACTGGTTCCTCCCCCCTCCTGGATCCCCCATAACTCTCACTGGTTCCTCCCCCCTCCTGGATCCCCCATAACTCTCACTGGTTCCTCCCCCCTCCTGGATCCCCCATAACTCTCACTGGTTCCTCCCCCCTCCTGGATCCCCCATAACTCTCACTGGTTCCTCCCCCCTCCTGGATCCCCCATAACTCTCACTGGTTCCTCCCCCCTCCTGGATCCCCCATAACTCTCACTGGTTCCTCCCCCCTCCTGGATCCCCCATAACTCTCACTGGTTCCTCCCCCCTCCTGGATCCCCCATAACTCTCACTGGTTCCTCCCCCCTCCTGGATCCCCCATAACTCTCACTGGTTCCTCCCCCCTCCTGGATCCCCCATAACTCTCACTGGTTCCTCCCCCCTCCTGGATCCCCCATAACTCTCACTGGTTCCTCCCCCCTCCTGGATCCCCCATAACTCTCACTGGTTCCTCCCCCCTCCTGGATCCCCCATAACTCTCACTGGTTCCTCCCCCCTCCTGGATCCCCCATAACTCTCACTGGTTCCTCCCCCCTCCTGGATCCCCCATAACTCTCACTGGTTCCTCCCCCCTCCTGGATCCCCCATAACTCTCACTGGTTCCTCCCCCCTCCTGGATCCCCCATAACTCTCACTGGTTCCTCCCCCCTCCTGGATCCCCCATAACTCTCACTGGTTCCTCCCCCCTCCTGGATCCCCCATAACTCTCACTGGTTCCTCCCCCCTCCTGGATCCCCCATAACTCTCACTGGTTCCTCCCCCCTCCTGGATCCCCCATAACTCTCACTGGTTCCTCCCCCCTCCTGGATCCCCCATAACTCTCACTGGTTCCTCCCCCCTCCTGGATCCCCCATAACTCTCACTGGTTCCTCCCCCCTCCTGGATCCCCCATAACTCTCACTGGTTCCTCCCCCCTCCTGGATCCCCCATAACTCTCACTGGTTCCTCCCATCTCCTGGATCCCCAGCAGCTCTCACTCTTGTCTGCTGTCCCATGTCTGCACTCTGCACTCCCCTGTCTGCAGTCCCATAGCTGCACTCTTTCTGCTGCTGTCTATTCTTGTGTTTGCGCTATCATACATGTTTTTTTTTGTCTGCGCTCTCTCATCTGCTGTCCCCTGTCTGCAGTCCCATGGCTGCACTCTGCTGTCCCCTGCCTGCACTCCCCTGTCTGCACTCCCCTGTCTGCACTCCCCTGTCTGCACTCCCCTGTCTGCACTCCCCTGTCTGCTGTCCCCTGTCTGCCCTCCCCTGTCTGCTGTCCCCTGTCTGCACTCCACTGTCTGCTGTCCCCTGTCTGCACTCCCGTTTGCAGTCCCATGGCTGCACTCCTCTGTCTGCTGTCCCCTGTCTGCACTCCCCTGTCTGCAGTCCCATAGCTGCACTCTTTCTGCTGCTGTCTATTCTTGTGTTTGCGCTATCATACATGTTTTTTTTTGTCTGCGCTCTCTCATCTGCTGTCCCCTGTCTGCAGTCCCATGGCTGCACTCTGCTGTCCCCTGCCTGCACTCCCCTGTCTGCACTCCCCTGTCTGCACTCCCCTGTCTGCACTCCCCTGTCTGCACTCCCCTGTCTGCTGTCCCCTGTCTGCTGTCCCCTGTCTGCACTCCCCTGTCTGCTGTCCCCTGTCTGCAGTCCCCTGTCTGCACTCCCCTGTCTGCTGTCCCCTGTCTGCTGTCCCCTGTCTGCACTCCCCTGTCTGCTGTCCCCTGTCTGCACTCCCCTGTTTGCAGTCCCATGGCTGCACTCCTCTGTCTGCTGTCCCCTGTCTGCACTCCCCTGTTTGCAGTCCCATGGCTGCACTCCTCTGTCTGCATTCTGCTGTCTATTCTTGTGTTTGCGCTATCATACATGTTCTTTCGTGTCTGCGCTCTCTCATCTGCTGTCTCTGCTGCCCTCAGTGTTGTAGCTGTGCTCTCCTCCATGCAGAGTGTTGCTCTCCTCCATGCAGAGCGTTGCTCTCCTCCATGCAGAGCGTTGCTCTCCTCCATGCAGAGCGTTGCTCTCCTCCATGCAGAGTGTTGCTCTCCCTCCCTCCATTGCTGGGTGTTTCCGCCTCCGATGAAGAAACGAAACTCTTGATCTATATATAGAGAATGCGCATGCACAGGGCGTACACAGTGACCAGATCCGTGCAGAGTGACGAGCTGTACACAGTGACCGGAGCCGCACAGGGTGCCGAGTGACCGGAGCCGCACAGGGTGCCGAGTGACCGGAGCCGTGCAGAGTGACCGGAGCCGTGCAGAGTGACCGGAGCCGTGCAGAGTGACCGGAGCCGTGCAGAGTGACCGGAGCCGTGCAGAGTGACCGGAGCCGCACAGGGTCAGTCGTCACCATGGCTCAGTCCCTGGAGGAGATGATAGAAGAGCTGACCTGCTCCATCTGCCTGTCTCTCTTCTCTACCCCGGTCACCATACCCTGTGGCCACAACTTTTGCTCGCAGTGCCTGGAGCTCTCCTGGAAGGAGTCCTATACCTGTCCTCAGTGCAGGTTCTCCTTCTCCACCAAGCCGGAGTTGAGGAAGAACACTCTGCTAAGTAACCTGGTGAGCATGGCACAGGCTGCCCAGGGGGACGAGGTCACCGGTGACCAAGAACAACAGGAGGAGAAAAGCAATGAAGAACCCGAAGAGGAGGAGGAGGAGTTGGTCCGGGAGCAAACCGTCATGTGTGACAGCTGCAGGAAGAACCCCGCTTCCAGAACCTGCCTGACCTGTATGGCTTCCTTCTGCCAGGACCATCTTCTGCCTCATCTGGAGAATCCAACCTTCAGCGACCACCAGCTCAGCCTGCCCCTCGGTGACCTGCAGCAGAGGAAATGCATGGAGCACAACAAGCTCATGGACCACTACTGCTGGGATCACGGCAAGTGCATCTGCTGCTACTGTGCCCTGAACCACAAACCATGCCAGACCTACACCCTGGAGGAGGGCAAGAAGAAGAAGGAGGTGAGGCTATCCTTGTATGTCACATGTAGTATATAGAGGTGAGGCTATCCCTGTATGTCACATAGGCCTGCACCCTGGAGGAGGGTAGGGGTATAGAGGTGAGGCTATCCTTGTATGTCACATGTAGTATATAGAGGGGAGGCTATCCCTGTATGTCACATAGGCCTGCACCCTGGAGGAGGGTAGGGGTATAGAGGTGAGGCTATCCTTGTATGTCACATGTAGTATATAGAGGGGAGGCTATCCCTGTATGTCACATAGGCCTGCACCCTGGAGGAGGGTAGGGGTATAGAGGTGAGGCTATCCTTGTATGTCACATGTAGTATATAGAGGGGAGGCTATCCCTGTATGTCACATAGGCCTGCACCCTGGAGGAGGGTAGGGGTATAGAGGTGAGGCTATCCTTGTATGTCACATGTAGTATATAGAGGGGAGGCTATCCCTGTATGTCACATAGGCCTGCACCCTGGAGGAGGGTAGGGGTATAGAGGTGAGGCTATCCTTGTATGTCACATGTAGTATATAGAGGGGAGGCTATCCCTGTATGTCACATAGGCCTGCACCCTGGAGGAGGGTAGGGGTATAGAGGTGAGGCTATCCTTGTATGTCACATGTAGTATATAGAGGGGAGGCTATCCCTGTATGTCACATAGGCCTGCACCCTGGAGGAGGGTAGGGGTATAGAGGTGAGGCTATCCTTGTATGTCACATGTAGTATATAGAGGGGAGGCTATCCCTGTATGTCACATAGGCCTGCACCCTGGAGGAGGGTAGGGGTATAGAGGTGAGGCTATCCTTGTATGTCACATGTAGTATATAGAGGGGAGGCTATCCCTGTATGTCACATAGGCCTGCACCCTGGAGGAGGGTAGGGGTATAGAGGTGAGGCTATCCTTGTATGTCACATGTAGTATATAGAGGGGAGGCTATCCCTGTATGTCACATAGGCCTGCACCCTGGAGGAGGGTAGGGGTATAGAGGTGAGGCTATCCTTGTATGTCACATGTAGTATATAGAGGGGAGGCTATCCCTGTATGTCACATAGGCCTGCACCCTGGAGGAGGGTAGATGGAGGACAGAGGTGAGGCTATCCCTGTATGTCACATAGGCCTGCACCCTGGAGGAGGGTAGGAAGACACATGGGACCCCTGTTATAATATAAGACCCCCCAATAATTGATAGGAAGAAGTATTCTGAACCATTTCCAGGTGGGAGGACTTTAGATGGGTGTTGGGCGGTTGTACCACCTCTGCTGACGCTGAACGTTGGATGTTGTTGTTTTGCAGCTTTTGTACATAAACCTTCTGCGATCTTTGGACCAGAAGATAGAACGAGCCGGCAACACGGCAGAAGACGTCTGTTATGAGCAGCGCAAAGCAACGGTGAGTAGCCTATCGGAGGGGGTGACAGGCAATGGCGGTGATTCCGCTCCTAACCCCGCTCCTCACGTCTGTGTTCCCTCAGACACACGTCTACCCCCCAGCAAGGCCATCACTGGTCCCCCGCGCCTCGGATCACATACATGTCTCAGCCTTCCAGTCAGTGTGACAGGTTCACTTTCTGAATAGTCCCTACTACTAGTCCAGCTTGCTCTTCCGTTGTGTGGAAGCAGAGACTACGCCCCCAGTAGCCC